CTGAACTCGGATTTGGTACATTTCTCTTCCAGCCATTTGTTAGCTGATGAGCTTGGAAAAGTTAGTTAGCTTCTCTGAGACTCAGGTTCTTCAATTCTTTTTATTTATTTACTTATTTTTTTGACTGTGAAATACATCATACACACACAGGTATACCATATGCTTATGTATAGATTAAAGAATAATATAGCATATTCTGTACACATCACCCAAGTGCAGAATGGAACGTCTGCAGCGCCTTCAAAGCTCCCGTTCCTCTTCCCATTTGCATCTCCTTCCTTGTTCTCCACCCCACCCATATTTTGAATGTTAGTTAGTTATTTCCTTCCTTTTCATCGTAAGTTATCGTCTACGTGCGTCTTACAAAACAATATATTGTTTACCTTCACGTGTCTACGGAGCTTACCTATATACATGTTCCCCGTGATGTGCGTCCTCCACCTTGTGTCGTGCCTCTGAGACTCCCCCCTGTGTTGACACACCCAGAGGTAGTTCGTTAGTTTTCACTCAGGGTGACGTCCACTGTAAGGATGTGCCACGATTTGTATGTCCTCCCTCTTGGTGATGGACGTTTGGGTGGTTTCCAGTTTGGAGTTACCACGGTCATACTGCTGGCGGTAACCGTGCTGGTCTCCTGATGTGCGCGTAGGCGGTTCTCCAGGGCACATACGTGGGGCCAGGGCACCTGGGATTCTGTGTTTGGCATTGCTCCACAGCGCCCAACTCCTTTCCACAGTGGCTGTACTGAAAAGCATTCCTTTCGGCAGTGGCTAAAAGCTCCCCTTGTGCCCCATCCTTTTCAATACCTGACATAGCCTTTATTTCTAAAATGAAACGGTTGTCCGACTAGACAAGTTTCTAAAGTCGCTTTCAGCTCTCATAGTTGAACCATCCTCGGCCGGTTATATGTGTACCCCTGTCTGACGTGTGGTACACGCACAGGTAGTCCTGTACAGGTGTCAGCCTGACTCTGTGAGCTCTGCTCAGGGTCTCCGGGTGCGGCTGAAGCCCTTCCTTGCAACCTTCCAGCAACAGTGAGGGAGGGATCCCGTGGCTCCAAGCCCATCCCGGTACTTGGCGTCCTGTTCAGTTCAACCAAGAGCCTAGTGTCAGTGCTGAGCACATACTAGGTGACCAGTTAGTACCCACTGGATTGCATTTTTGCTAAGGGTATTGAGACGGTATCTTTTCCTTGGGTATCGATTTTGAGAACAGGACGTGGAAGTATCAGAACTTTGTGTTTATCAGCTAATCAGAGTTCAGGGTGCTGGGGGCAGTGATGGGATTTACATCTGTCCAGGGCTTTTTGGTCATCTGAAAGCTCCAGGTGAAGTAAACTGAAGACTAATTGTTCAGAGTCTGGCCTTGATCTCTGACCCACTGACTTGTCCAATCTGAGAAGCAGAGGGTGCTAGAGGGTCGCGGTGGAGAGAACAGAGGAGGCGCCTTGGGGAAAGGAGCAGAATGCCCACAGAGAATCCCTTCCTCTTCCAAGGTTGAACACTCTGCCTGGGGGTGCTGGGTTGAGTAGGTGTTAGGTAGACCCAGTGTCCTGGCGGCCACATAAACAGCCAGCTGCCCACTCACCCAGCCGCCCACAAAAGAATGTGGCTTGCTGGGCAGTTGCATGGGACACCCGAGGCCGCAATCCTGTAATTACCCAGCCAGTCTGTGCCTGTCAGCTCCAGGGGCAGGTGAGTGCCTCTGCCCTGGGCCTCATCTTGGTCACTAGACCCATGCTGGGCTCGGTGGTAGGGCCCCACCCATTCTTCAATCACCTCCCACCCCAACTCTGCCCCAGTGTCTCTCTGTACACCAACCTTTGACCTTTGTGAGGCTGACATAATCATATATCATATAAAAGCTGACAATCGTAATAAACCAATGGCTATTCTAACTTATACGTTCCAGGCACCGTGTTAATTTTTTTTCATGCATTTTCTCACCCAGGCCCCTCAATAATGCTATGAGGTAGGCAATACTGTTATTCCCATTTCACAGAAGAGGAAATTGATGTTGAAAGAAGTTAAGAGGTTCAACTTCTTGCCCAAAGTCATTGAGCTCCTAAGTCAGAACCAGAACTTAAATTCGGATCTGTTGTAGCCCGGGCCGTCTGCCCCTGCCTCACCTGCCCACGACCTGTCCTGCACAGTTGTTCGGCTCTGTTCTCTGCCCTCCTCTTCCTGTCTGAGGAGGGCTGGGAAAGAGGCAGTAGGTGGTGCCAGCCGAGGGTGAATGGGACGGTTCCAGGCTGGCCAGGATGATGCTGGAAAACACCTTCGGGGCAGAGTTCTTTGTTCCAAACAGCTCTCAATTTCCGGACTTCTGCCAGGGGTGGGAAGGTACCTCTGCCCAGCCTATTTGGCAAGCACACCGACATCTTGGGTGCCATGATGTGAAGAAGTGGGGGGTGGCAGCCTCAGGTAAAATTCCACTGTAATGAACTCCATCTGAGATCCGAATGGCTTCGTTGAGTTGAAATTATGTTAACCAGTGTGCAGTGGAGGAACTCAGGTGTGGAACCTGAGAAACTAGAGGGGGAAGTGGGGCTAATTTACCAGTAAGTGTCTTTTAGTAAAGCTCTGGAACGTTTTGGAACCTAGGAAGAGAAGGAGAGTCAGAATCACCCCTGGTTCCTCCTTCAGTGCCAAGCTCCCGGATGGTTGGGGCAGGGCCCGGAGGGGAGAGCTTTGTGTTTGACTCCACCTGACAGGGCTGTGCCTGTCTGTTCGATTGTCCATGTACCCGCTGGGTTGCGAGGCCCTGAGAACAGGGCTGGGTCCTATATCTGAAGTGTCCTTACTCCACGCAATACTTAACTCATCACAGATATGCTCAATGGCTGTTGATTGAATGGAAATGTGTTTGTAGGTAGACTGGGACCCCTGAGCTATTTAAAGAGAGTTGAGGTGCCTGGGTGGCTCAGTCGGTTAAGCATCTGACTTCGGCTCAGGTCGTGATCTCATGGTTCGTGAGTTCGAGCCCTGCGTCGGGCTCTGTGCTGACCACTCAGTGCCTGGAGCCTGCTTGGGATTCTTGTATTTCCCTCTCTCTCTGCCCCTCCCCCACTCGCACTGTCTCTCTCTGTCTCTGTCTCTCTCTCCTCAAAAATAAACAAACGCTAAAAAAAATTCTCTTTTGAAGAGAGCTGAAGGGCAGGAGCTTTGTGTGACTAAAACGTTATAAAAAGCTGGGCTGCAACTCAGAGGACTTCTCTCCCATTACTGAAGCCAATCCTGCAGAATAACAAGCAATAACATTGCCTGAGCAGGTACCCTGTGCCGGGCGCGGTGCTGAGCCCTTGACCTGCATTATCTCATTTGACCCTCACAGACAAATGAGGTAGGTTTTGTCGTTTTGTTCTCATTTTGCAGGCAAGGGAACGGAAGCTTAGAGAGCTGCGGACACAGCGGGCTGGAGGTGTGTGGGGAGGCAGGGTTTGCTGTTGCTCAGGCTGTCTCCAGACCCTCTTCTCTTACCTGTGTCTCCCTGCATGCAGAGCTCGGCTGTCGCTGAGGGCTGGGTGCCGGGTGGGGGGGTAGGGCCAGGTGATGAGTGAGGCTGGAGGGCTGCAGACCCTGGTGGG